GTGTGCCCTAAGAAAAAAATCAACTGTTCGAAAACAAAGAGATTTGTAGTGAGTATCCCCTTGCTTTGAAAAGGATGAAACTATTGAAGAATTATCTCAATGAAGCAACAAATCGAGACCCCCAAGTCGTAGCACATTGAACTGCTAAAAGCTCTAAGAGACTGATGTGGAGAAAAGCTTTCTCTACAGTCCAAAGTTCCTTAATTCCATATTGGCTATACAAACACCCTAGCTTTAGAGAAGCATCTGTGAACAGATGTATCTCTGGCCATGGATGTAGTAGAGGGACATCTACAGTTGAGTTGTCCCTGTTCAAACACCAATTTAGATCCAGCACACTGGAATCAAGACAGTTTCTCTAGGCAATCTAGCACATCTGTGTAAATGCTCCACTGGTCCCATAACAACCACTGAAAGCCCTCATGTGGGCTTGATCTAAAGGAATGAGGGATTCCAAGGATGCCCACATCCCCAAAAGAGATTGAACTGTGCATGCTGGTGGAGAAGAACCACCTGTTCCATTGCCTGAAATAGTAGAGAGGAGAAGGTTGGGCCCAGCTGAGTCTGGAATGGAAAACACCTCTAAATGTAAAAGATACTGTGTGGGAATAAGAATAGACTACTCCTTTTTGATAAGACACCCATCTCTTTTTGCTTATGATACCAGAAATCGAGTATGTAGTTTGCCAAATGGCAGGAAGGGGCAAGAGGAAGTCAGACATCCATGTAATGGTGAATATATGGATGTAAAAGGATCTTTGCCAACTGGTATGAGAGACAGAGGATGAGGGGACATGAACTGAAAGCCCAATTCCCTCCTGAGAAGTTGAATGACTCACTGATCTGTGGTGAATGTCTCCCATACAGACATAAACCCCCTGAGAAGAAACCCCAAAGGACCTGACCCCATAAGGTAGACACCAACACCAAAATCTGCATCCCCCCATTGAGAAGGATCCCCACTGGTAAGGTCAAAGTCATCCTTGTGTTTAACTGGATCGTGGTGCTGAAGCAGGAGGTCTGGAAACATGAATATGAGATGCAGTAAACCATCCTGTAGAAGAACTTTGGGACAGTCGAGAAGCCAGTGTAGAAAAGAAGAATGGAGACAGGCCCAATCTACTCTAGATTCCATGGGTTATGGAATTCCCACTAAATACACTGAGAAAAGGAGCTTCTCTTAGATCCCTAAGGTCCAATGCAGGATGGTGAATTCCCTTCAGTAAGGTATCTCTCTCCGAAAGATCTCAGCAACAAACCAACCAAGATACCAAGGAGAGAGCAGAAGTCTATAACTTAACGAAAGTGGAAGTCAATAAATGATTAAATTCCTCTGAAATTTGAGAAGGGAATCTATGATAGGCCTTAGACAACAGTTGTAAGTATGATAAAAAAAAAGAAAACTATTGGTAAGTGACAAATAAATTTTGGAAAACTAATACTAAGATGAACAGAGGCATCTTGTCTAGAGCCCAACTAGGAAGTAAAGAGTCTAACCACCCCTGAGAGTCCAAATATGAGTTTACCAAGTGATGTAAAGCCAAGGCATACTGATTCAATAAACAAGCAGGATAAGGTATGACAACACCCTCCTTCAAATGATCTGCAAATCTCCTTGTATGCACTGCAAAGTCTTCCAAAGGTGGAAGGACCAGGTAATCTGATGAACTAGTTTCCCCCAATAAAGAAGGTAAAGATTCATAAGCTACAGGGTAAATACTCAAAACATGGTGTCCATCTGAGGTTTTTGAGTAGTTGTCTAATCAAAGGAAGGTGCAGGAAAAATACAGTCTAAATTCTCACTAATCTGCCCATGATCTCCCACATGCCCTGCCTCAGAGCCAACAGGAGAAAAAACATCAGACTACATGTAAAACTCTACCCATCTGCGTATAAGGAACTGTATCTCCTCCTACTATGGTTATCCTTATTTTTGACAGACTTATACTTAAAACTATTATCTAATATGTTACACTATAAAACTCCTTTTTCCAAACACCTTATTACCCTAGCTATCATACCAATTTCTTTATTCCTAATTTCTCAAGCTACCTTCCAATTGTGAACGTTTTAAATTATCTTTAGTAAATATAAGTGTAGTTTCCCCAAACTTCTTATTACCTAAACAGCTTAAGTGGAGCCCAATTCTAGCATATAATGCTTCCTACTCTAAAATTATCCCACATATCTAACAATCCCATCAGTTGCACTTAACTGATAATTTTTCATTTAAGCCCTGGATTCTGCAAAATAATTCATTTCTGCATCTAATCTGAAGGAGCATTGTCAAAATGATGACAACTCTATTTCTATTCCTAAACCACTGAGTGAAGAATTTTCTATACTTCTTAAGCAACTCTTCTGATTTATAATTTCCAACATAATTTGCTCCTACATGCATTATGAAAAGAGAATGTTTCTTGGTACCAGCAACTAAACTATAATCACACACTATATAATATCCTATACTTTAGTGCTTTGCAATTTATTGAATTCTGTTTTTATTTTATGGTTTTGTTTACCATTCATTATTCCTTTTGCGGTTTAGTTTAGCTGTGAATTTTGATACAAATTAAAGTGTTAGATCACCTTCTAGCTGATCATGTTGGTTTTGAGTATGTATGTATTATGAAACTAACATAAGTTCCCCTAGTGGTGATGTACAAATATTAATGTTATGAAAAATTATATAAATTTATGGTAATAGCTAGTCACATGAAATGTAATCTCGTGGTCTATCACTCAATAAAAATCCTTCCTTAAGCTTAAACAAGTTAATTCACAAGATATAATTAAAACGTATTATTGCTGATTGTCACTCAATCTTCTGGTTATTTAAATTTGGAATACTGTTTTTTTTAGAACTAGATTTTTTCTTCTTCTGGTTCTTTTCCTCATTCCTTTACTTATTGAAATAATTATTAACACTGATATTTATGTGTATTGTTCATTAATGTTGGAACCAAGTCTTGACCAGGCACATGTTTATTAACTGTTTTGGTAAGTGATAAACTTTGTATTCCAATTGTTTGAAAGTTTCATTTTGGATTTCTGTGGTTGTAGCAGCTGTTTGTTGTAGTCTGTTATGATAAACTGTGAACACACATCAAAGAATATCCTATACTTTAGAACTGTATTCTTCTTTAATATACACAATATATTTGTTTCATCATCTAAATGCATTAGTGAATGTCCATACAGTTGTCAACAAAGAAACCAGCCACGCTAAAATATAAACCATCAAATCCATAAAACTATCTAACAGTAACCAACATTGCCCATAACATCATAATCTAAAAAATCATTCCACAAGTTAATAACTAATTACCACGGAAAATATTTTGTCTGATAAAGAGCTTGGATTTCTGGTTACCTTAACTTCAATTTCTTTTAGCATTGTGGATTTCTTCTTTGACCTTTAATTTTCCAACAAACTTATCACTTGCAGTTATCTAAGTTCCCCACTATTTCAAACACATGAATCACATCAAAAATGAGGTCTTTCCAAATTTCCACACCCTAAATGCATCACTTAAAATTTATCGATCTTCAAACTCATTGTCAATAACCTAACCAACTCAGCAACTTTCTAAATCCTAAAGGATTAAAAATTTATAGGCAATTTTTTTTTAAACAATCGGTTTTACCCAACAATTTAATATTAAGAACAGGAGCCAAATTTCTGTTGTACTGAAGATACAACCAATTTGCAGGACAGCCAGCCCAAATTTCATTAGTTTTCAGGGTAAATCAATACTTTTCATTGAATTTTGTACACTCAACCCTACCCAAATGTCTACAAACATGCACAGATATAAGTATCTTTCTGCTATAACTCTAGAATAGAAACTTAAGTCTCTGCACTACTGTTCATTGTTTCATGATTAGAGACATGGCAGTAATATATTCCTTAACATTTCCAAAAATACTCGTTATTAGATAATAGAATTTATCTGAGTTATTAACCTTTTTAAGTGATTTTTACAACTTGTTTAGTAATACCTAACTGTGCCTCCATCAATATTAAAAAACTGTTAAGACTTCAAATATGAACTGAAAATGAAAACATACTTTTATTTTCAAAAGCTCAACTCGAAGCAATATACACTGCTCAGTAATCACGATTTGCACCACATCTCATTTTCAATTTCTGAGGCTCATCCACAATAAAGGGTCAATATGTTTCTGGTGCGATTATTAAAAACATTGAAATGAACTATTTTACAATTTAACACATATTATTAATACTAATACATAATACAACAAATTGAAGATTACAAATAAAAAACCTAAAATTTCTAAAATTTAATTTCATATGACTGACGATAACATTTTCTCGCAATTTAATCTGTACAGTAAAGTGCATAATATCTTTATAAATATCATAGTACTGTCTGTTGTATGTCCTAGTATTTACTTTCACAGGGTGTGGATGGATCTTCACCAAAACTAGTATGTAGGTTCATTAAGTCCATGTGAGGGTACATACAAATTTTCAGTTTTTATGGGCGTTTTTTAACACTACGTTGCCCCCTGTAAATGGATCTTCACCAAATTTGGTATGGAGGTTCATTAGGTCCATGGGGAGATACATACTAAATTGGGGTTTCATAACTTGTGTTTTGTAGTTTTTATGGACGTTTTTGTGTTTCTAACAATTACATACAAGGGAAGTATCTTCTCATGTCCTAAGATAACCTTTCATTAATCATGAATTTACATAACTTCCATCCAGGGGATGGATACTCCAGCTAGTTAGTAATAATGTTAGTAATAGTAATACTTTAAAATATAATAATATTAATAGAACAGTTAGTACTAATAATCACTTGAATCAGCACACTGTAACAGTAACAGTAAGAATTAGTAATATCAGTAGGCCTACAGTACATATTAATTTTATAATACTTTATAGTTTACTAGAATACTATTATTAACTAATCTAGTTATTTACTGTTGATTAGGACTACTTAAAGTTTTAATAGTACTTTAGTACTCACCCAAAATGTCCTCTTCTTCTTCTAAAATTTCTAGTAACTGGTGGAGAGTTTTCTTCATCCCTTCCTTCTGACATTATCTATTTATTTAAAAATTCTCTAGCTTAGGACCTATATCGTATATTCGCTCAATTAAGTATATTATACTTTATTATTAATTTATATATTTAAAGCTGTTGCGCAACTTGCTCGCGTAACACACCTTACCTTAGGCTTAAGTTAAAATAACGGACCTCATTCAGGCTTGTGAAACAAATTATAATACGCCATCTATCTATCTATATACATATATATATGTATATATACATATGAATGAATAAGAACCTTATAACTTCAGAACTTCTTGAACTTAGGTGTTTTTCTATCATATATATATATATCTTTCTCAACAGTAGTAAATATCATCAAAAACAAAAGTATTTCAAAAGTATTTATTTATTTTTGTACTTAAAGCAAAGCTACTAAGGCTATCTGCCACCGTCTCTAATTTTAAACTACTTACTAGACGGAAGGCTAGTTAGCAGTACTCTACCACCCATATTGAATGACTGACTGTCACTTTTATAACGTATGAGGAATATTTTATGGGATTCTAGCCCAGTTCGCAAGCTCCGAAAAACAGAGCTCTACCAAAGAACCAACCCGTGCCGCTCTACAACTGAAAGAGTATAAAGTTTTGAAAATATATGGTAGTATTAAGCAAATATCTTTCTATAATATTGTTACGACAGCGGAAGTCACGTGACCCGTGGTAACACGTGATGAGTTTCTAGAAGTATTCACGTAAGAAACGATATGAACGCTTTTGTTTATATGAGACCGGTAAGAAGTGACGGC